GCAACTTGTTTTTGTTATCACAAATTCTGTCTCGCTATGTGGGAGCTACTTAAATGCGAGATGCTACTGTTGTTGTTATTTCTGGGGCCTGCTGAGGGTGTGATTTCCTGAATGCACAGACCTGGGTTTTCCATATCAAGTGCCCAGCAAGTGAGGCTGGGGCAATGTGCATGTTGTTAGCATTGTATTGGTGCAGGCTCTGCAACGGTTCTTGATAAGCTGCAGAGAGTTTTTACCTTGCAAGATAGAGGGGCCAAAAATGTACTTTGATTCATCACACCTTCAAAGCTGAGCAAAGTACTATTTGTTGGAACGTCGATCTTGCAATCATTTGTCAGTTTCTATTGGAAAAGACATAGATTCTTCTTCCTCCTGTAGTCTCATTACCAACATTTGACAACTGCTTCGATTAAGGGGCTGATGCGTCACTGTTGAAAAAACATACATGGGGCCCCATTCTGGTTTCAGCAGATGCCTGGAACATAGGCAGACAAAGCCCGAACATGATGAGTCTTGCCATTGAGCCAGCTCCCTGATCCTGGTCCCAGTATCAGCCAATGCGGGTTCAGGGCTGTAGTCATTGTAACAAGGTATGGCAGGTGGACCCATGGAATATGAGTTCCCTGACTGGGGCTGTTAATCTGGTCCAATCAGGGAGACCTGGCTGACAGATAGAAACAGGAGTGTCGGAGGTTCTGCTCACTCTGAGGGCTGGCTCTGAGGGAGCTGGATCAGTGTCGAGGACTCTCCATGTGTAAATAAAGTGTGACTTGGTGACAGGATACTGGCCTTTGTGGAGGTATTTCAGGGACCTGGCGACACTGGGAATTTGGCTTATTACGTGCTCCCTTAGAGGTAGGTCATGGTAGCTGACCTGCTTTCCCTCTGTCTCCAGTTTCTTGGTATGATCGGATTGTGAGCGGCAGGGGTGTCAGATAAAGTAAGTGAACGCAGGTAGCTAGTAGCAGGCCTGTAGACCCTGCCGTGTCAACCCTGGGTGGGTGAGGTACCGCCAAAAACCACCCTGCCAAGACAATCAGCCCTCAGGCTCTCTCCTGCAGACATGGCTTGGCTGTGTTTTCTTTCTCATGAAAGTTTCTTCAAAAATGGTCGACATAGCAAGTACATTTTTTAGACTTAATTCATCAGACATGGGCGTCACTGTCTGGATCAGCATTTATTGCCCATCCCTAATGGCCAGAGGGCAGTTAAGAGTCAACCACATTGCTGTGGGTCAGGAGTTACATGCTGGCCCAGACCAGGTAAGGATGGCAGTTTCCTTCCCTAAAGGGAATTTATTGAATTCAAATTTCACCATCTGCCACGGTGGGATTTGAACTCCGGTCCCCAGAATATTTCCCACGTCTCTGGATTAATAGTATAGTGATAATAACTCTAGGCACAGAAACTGGCCATTCAGGCCCAACTAGAAGATGCTCCATGGGACACTCCCCACCTTCTTCATCTCCTTATCAACATTAACTCTCTGCATCACACTCCTTTAAGTAGCAGTGCCAACCTTCCATTTGAAATGGTTTGTGCCATGTTGGTCAACTCTATGTTCACCCTCATCCAGTACGGCTCAGAGTCCCTACTTACTTAAGGCAGTCTCAGCTGTAGGGGATGACAATGTGTTCAGAAGATGCTTGATTCTCTGGCCTCTGGTTTCCCTGAGCTCCCTTCTTGACCAACTATGCTTCCTACTGCTGCTCACCTCTTCCAATACAGTTCCACGCAGTCGATCACCAGGCATCACAACCAACGCTGAATAAAGTGCCATTGTTCGTGCCCACCATTGTCAGATCTCTCTTGCAGATGTCCTTGTAGGGGAGGTATGGACATCCAGGAGGTTGTGACGGTGGCTAAGAAACTGTACAGAGGTCTTTGGGTCTATGGCCATCATCTATCTGATGGATATGGCAACACCACCTCCCACATGTACTTTTCTAGCTTCACCTTAAATAGATCCTGCGCTGTTCACCTCCTACATTGTCTCCCTGGGTCAAAAATTTCTCCTGAATTTCTGATTGAATTTATTAGTAACTACCTTATGGTCCCTAGTTTTGGACTCTCCCCCTATTCGAAGCAGTTCTTCATATCTACCCTAGCTAACCCCTTTCATAATTTTCAAGGTCTTTATTAGGACCTTGCCTCTTCTTTTCTCAAGAAAAAGGACCATACCCTGTTCTTCATTGTTTAGGAATAGAGCAACATAAAGATTCCGATGACACCATAAATCAGTAACATGAAGGGAAATGGCTCTTCATACCTTCCATCCCAATTAAAGCTAAACATTTCTCACTGCCATGGGATTGATTTCATGCAGCTTTGTAAACTAATTTAATTTTTAAAATTGGATGACCAAAGGACAGGCCGGCAGGGAGATCTGGGAGCTTGGTTTTAACGAAGGTCTCAGTGCATTGTAACAAAAGAACTTTTCTAATCATACAGATCATTGATGCAAGGTTCATGCATTAACTGATTGCATTTCTGGCATTTAGATTCTTTAATATAACGAGAGCTTTATTAATTAGTTGAATGCGAGCAAGTCTTTTTCTTCACGTACAACTGAAAATTGTAATGAAATGCCCTTTCATCCTGGCACGTTGCTGCCTTTTAAACTGGTAACAGCAACAGTTTGTGGCTGAGATGATAGGATTGGTGTTTTTAGATAGTTGGGGTATCCTGTACAATGCCTGAGTGACCTGTTGAAAGCAAAACGATGGCACTGACCATTTGGGAGAAAGATGCTTACAAACAAAAAGCACAGGAGAATGGTAGAAACATAGAAAATATGCAGTGGAGTAGGTCATTTGGCTCTTCAAGCCTGTTTTGCCATTTAATATGATCATGGCTGATCCTTGAACTCAGTCCTCTGTTCCCACTTTTTCCCCCATATCCTTTGATGCCTAATAACTGTATCTACATCTTTCTTGAAAGTCTTCAATGTCACTGCCAGGAAGATGAATTCCTTTTATTGTTTCTGATGTGACATTGTCTGATGCCAGCCATGGCTCTGAGGCTGGTACTATTGTATCAGAACACTGTGGGCTCAAGCCCTACTCCAGAAACCCCAGCACAATATCTGGCTGTCACGTTTTGGGCAGAGACAGTGGCATAGTGGTAATTTCACTGTGTTAGTAATCCAGAGCACTGGACTAACATAGGTTTCAATCCCACCATGGGAGATGGTGAAAATAATCCAAAATGTAAAGCTAGTCCAATGGTGTCAATTGTTGGAAAACCCATCAGGTTCAGGCATGTTCTTTAGGGAAGGAAATCTACCATCCTTCCCTGGTCAGGCCTATGTGTGAACCCAGATCCAATAACACTGTGGTTGGATCTTAATTACCTACCCTTTTATATGGCTTAGAGGGCCTATTGGTCCAAAGGCAAACAGGAATGGGCAATGAACGCCAGTGGTGCCAATGCCCCGTACAAGAATAAAAGAAAAGAGGCCACTCTCCATGTGCTGTGGGAGACTTTCAACATTGGCCCACTGAATCGGCATCCAACTGAGATATGATTAACTGTCTTGATGTTTTAGGCAGCGTTGTTGACTACGCAACAAAATATCTGGGATGTGATTTTCACAGCAGTATTGACTTTGTCTTGCAACCCCCAGCACCTCCAGTTGACAGGACATTGAAACAAACCAATGAAGAAAACTTTAAGAGTCAGTTTATGGTGGATATCATAATTCCCTCAGCTCTGAATAAAGGTACCTGGCAATGATTCACAAAGGGGAGCTCTACAAACATTTCCTTGTTCTGAGAAGGAGCATGATTGAGGGAAATAACATCAAGTACTGTCCTTCATCTCTTTGATCATGTGTGAACCTCGCTAGTCAGTTCACTATTATTTTCACTTAATCTATTTTTCCCTTATCAATGTGTTCAGAGATATTATTATGCACCACTGGAGCAGGTGGGGACTTGAACCTGGGCCCCCTGGTCCAGGGGTAGGGACACTACCACTGCATCACAAGACAGCCCAATTAGTTTATTAAAAACCTGTATCTTAACTCAGAGCACTCTCTGTTCATTGAAAACTCGTATTTTAACTCAGAGTATGTCAATGATGTATAATGGATTCTCGTCTGACAATGCCGTAATCTTACAATTCTTATCCTTAATGGCAAATTCTTCTATAGTCTCTCTACTCCTCATCCTCCAGCCTAACAACAACCCTCTGAAATATCCATTCCATGTGCAGCTTCTTGAACATCCTCAACTAGTTGCCTTGCCTTCAGCTGCCTGCATCCTGAAGTCGGGAGTCTACCCTTTACAACACTCCCACCGGCACCCCACAAACATCTCTGCCTCTCTGATCTCTACTCTTAAAAATGACCTTTTGACCAGGTATTCAATCTGCTTGCTCTCCTTACATGGCTTGTAGCCATAAGTTGTCCGTGACCCTTCTTTCAAGTGCCTTAGGACTTCTTACACAGCAAAAGACACTACGTAAATGCAAGTCATTAATTAAAAATGAAGGATAGAAGTGGATTGAATTGCACATGATTGAATTCTGACAGGTGACACCCCTGTGCTGACAGCATATTTATGCAAACGCAAAATAAATCACTAATGAGACAAACTCATTTATACTGCGCTCACAAATACTTGAGCAGCTCAGTTGCAATCTTGGATTTATTCTTAAGTTGCCAGTCCTCTAGGTTCCACAGGAATCTCCTGGATCTTCAAATCAATTAAGCAAGATTCAGGAGGAAAACTGTATGAAGATTAAAATAAAGTGTTTTTTTTTGCATTGTCTTTGAATAATTTCATTGATCAATTCCTAACATCATTGGAGTTACCAAGGGGGACAAGGTTATTTAAAAAGATTGCACTTGGAGGTGGAAGTTCAGATAATAAAACATCCAGGATTATTTCTGACCAGGGTTGGCAGCCACATTTATTCACTATTGTTAAGCCACTTGCTAAGATGATGCAGCAATGTCCAAAAAGCAATATCTCTCGTTAGCTGTTTCCATTACTCACATGCAATTCGGACGTAGGATTTGTGACTCTTGGTAGTTCCAGCAGAGCTCCAGGCAACACACTGGCACCAATAGTCCTCTGGTCCAAACAGTTCTTCCACCTGTTGCCGGGATATCTCGATGCTCACCTCCCTGACAATCAGGCCTGCGGGTCACAAGAATTCATTCAGGTCATTAGTCCCCTGTGCTGCTTACCACAGAGACCACATTCACATGGCGAATAGCATCACAGTATAATGAATGTGCCACCGTACTGAGAAAGACAGAATGACACTGTGAGCAAGTCAATCACCCATGTAGCAATGTTAAGAGATAACTGAGAGGTGCCCTCAATCAGAAACTGGACATCATGCCCCCACCCACACCCCCGAAATTACGTGAGTCGTCAAAGGAATGTAAGAAATAGGAGCAAATGGGGGTGACACGATGGCTCAGTGGTTACCACCGCTGCCTTACAGTGTCAGGGACCTGGGTTTGATTCCACCCTCGGGTGACTGTCTATAGGGATTTTGTAAGTTCTCCCTGTGTGTAACAGTGCTCTGGTTTCCTCCCATGATCCAAAGATGTGCAGGTTAGGTAGATGCTAAATTGCTCATAGCATCCAGGGAATTGTGGATTAGCCATTGGAAATGCATGGTTACAGCAATAGGACGAGTGCCAATGGTATTTCAGAGCTTACTGAGCAGGACTGGAGTCACAGGCAAGCCAGGCTACAGAAGACAGGCTCCTCTCCTGGAGGATGAGCCAGTCAGGATTTTCACAACAGTTCAGCAGATTTCACCCTTTTTTCCCCCGCTGTTCAATCTCAATTTACAGCATTTATTGATTTTGACAACTTTCCTCTCTATTACAAGTGTGAAGTGTGTCAGGGTGTGGAGGGATGGGGAGAGATGGGTGGGGGTGAGGGGTAAATGTGAAGGTAGATACCTGTGTTCAGATGCAGATCAGCCATAATCTCAGTGAATGGTATTACAGATTCAGGGGACCGAACAGTCTCCTCCTAGCCCAACATCCCTAGGTAGTTAGCATCATTTCTGAAATCACTTACACTAGGGTTTGTCACACTTAGGAGATTGAACTTGGCACTAGCTTTGTAATGAGACTTCACTTTTGAAATGCATTAAACAGTTGCTGCATTTGTGAGGTAGATGTCAACTGTACTTGCCACAAAAAGTGATTTCAATTTGCTATTTTTTAAAACAACACATTAAACTTTATTTACTACTAATCGATGTTTCCAACTGTAGAGTCACAGTCCATCAGGGCTTAACAATTGCTTTAGTGTTTTAAAACTTTTACTTTCGGTCTCTTTCTCTCTCAATTCCATATTTCCTTTTCCTGTCTTAGGGCAGGATTTGTGTCACCAGTTCCCACCTTGCCATAAGAGCTCTAAGATAATTGTAATCAACCTGTTACTTTACTCCTCTGAAGCAGGGCGGTTTGAAATCAGGCCTCCTAGCTCAGGGGCAGGGGCCTTATCACTGTGCCACAATATTGTCTGTGCCACATGGATATATTTTTCCAGTCAACCTGCTCAGAGAAGTCATTACACATGCTTGGAGCAGGGGGGACACGAACCCAGATCTCCTGGTTCAGAGATAGGATCATTACCACTGTGCCACAACAGCCTTTTCTTTACAGGATGAGGGCATCACTGCCCAGGCAGCATTTATTGCCCAGAGGGCATCTAAGAGTCAACCGCATTGCTGTGGGTCTGGAGTCACACGTAGGCCAGACCAGGTAAGGATGGCAGTTTCCTTCCCTAAAGGGCATTAGTGAAGCAGATGGTTTTTTTCCAACAATTGGCAATAGATTCACAATCTAGATTCTTAATTCCAGATATTTATTGAATTCAAATTCCACCATCTACTGTGGCAGGATTCAAACCTGTGTCCCCAGAATATTATCTGGGTCTCTGGATTAACAGTCCAGCGATAATACCACTAGGCCATCACCTCCCACTGAAAGAGAGGCCAAGCCTATCTCTGCTGTGTAAGTATTTTCTAATCAACCTGCTCAGAGATGTTATGAAATGTAGGAGACTTTCTGGCTCTGAGATAGGAACACTACCACTGCACCCCAGCAGCTCCTCTGCTTGTGTAGGTATTTAACAGCTTTTAAATCTTTTCAGGCTGACCTTTCACCTCTGTCTGGGCAACATTTCCTCTGACAGCATCCAGCCAATCGATAGCTGGCAGCTCTTCAAACTCAGCAGAGCCACTGGGGGCATCACCACTGCTGGGACTGTACCCAATCCCTGAGGGCAAGGACCCCACATGGGCGGTGGATTTAAGTAAACTCAGGCTGGACACTGTGGAGCAGAGGGCAAGGTGAGTGGGGTTGCGGGGTGGGGTGGGGGTGCAGGACGCAGTGTTGAGTGTGCTAGAACAGATAGTTAGGATGGGGGGGTGGGTGGGCAGACCTGAGGATGGGGGGAGAACGAATGTGCTGTCCAATGCCTGCTTGGCTCTCCTGGTACTGGTCAATGGAATAAGGTCTTCACTCCATTATCTTTAGTAGTAGAGGGGAAGGAGCAGATGGCCAGATGGCTGGCACAGCGCTAATGGGATTTTAAGTCCCCCTCCCACTGGGCATAAACCTGCTATGAAGGTTGTAAAATTCTGCTGTTTATTTCTCTTTCTGTATCTGCTGCTGTCGTTTACACTTCCTTCTGAATCTGTTACTTTGACAATACACAATGATAGCTAAGGGGGATAAGTAACTGCTTGCTCTGCCTGTTCAGGGTTCAGATTCTCTCTCTTCTCCCTCACTGACATTACAGCACTCACACTCTCAACACATTGTCCTGCAGAAAGGTCTAAAAATTGAATTGTACAAAGGGATAAATCGAACAAATAGCAGATGCTGTTAGATATACGGCTACAGATATCAGACACCACTACTTATAATTAATGGGTTAAAATGCAGCCAGAAAATGCAAGACTGGATGCACGAAAATGAGCAAATGCTATTCAGCTTTAATGCAATTCTATCAAGTAAAATTGGAACCAAATTTTGTTTTATTTTAAAAATAAAATTACAAAATCCCAGACGGTTAACCTGCTCAGCAATGGTGCTGATTTCTGCCTGTGTCAGTAAAAATTGCACATGCATGAAATTTCACCTCAAACCCAAATTACATGTGTAAGAAGCTCAAAGAGTGCGGAGAACCTGCTGGATTACAGAGCAACTATTCACAGTAAAAGAGTGCTTTGCCTTTGATGGCGCTGAGGGGAAGATTAGCAAGGGATTATGGCATTAAGCGAGCATCGAGCAGCTAACGTAACTTTTATCAACTCGCTTGCAACTTAACACTGCCGGTCTTGGGGCACTGTCAGGGAACTTAAAATTCAGGCGAGTGGAATGGGATTACAGAGCGAAGCTTGTTATATGAATGTTTCCAATTGTATTTCAGAGATTTCACTGCCAGCCTTTGAAACTGAGTCAACCCCCTCCCTCTTTTTCAATTTTCATCCTCTTTAATCACAAACACTGGCTCCATTCAGATAGCCTTGTCAGTCTGGCCTCTGTCATTGCAGGCTCCTGTGGTTAGGTTGCCCCGTTTCTGCCCCATGTGTTGAAAGTAGCCTGTCATTCCAACGAATGCCCTGGGGTTCTGCAAGCACAACAGCCAGTTAAAATGACCAACAAAATATCTGCCGTCAGATCAAACGTTGCTTGATTTTCTCTTTTCTCTTCATCTCCATGATTGCAGCATTCCTTTGAAGGAAGACGGTGGGACTATAAATATCCGACTTGCACCAAAAAAAACCTAACAGGGAATTCAGAAGAAACTTCTTTAGTCAAAGAATGATTAGAATGTGGAACTCGCACTTGCATTGAGGTGAAGGACAGAGACATATTTAAAGGGAAACTTGATGGATGGAGCAAGGGAGAGGGTGTTGGTTAGCTCAGTTGGCTGGTTTGCAATGCAGTGTGATGCCAACAGCGTGGGTTCAATTTCTGTACCAGCTGAAGTTATGATGAGGGACTCTCCTTCTCAACCTCTTCCCTCACCTGAGACAAAGTGACCTTCAGGTTAAAATGCCACCAGTTATCTCTCACTAATGAGGGAACAGCCCTATAATCAGCTGGGATCATGTTGACTTTCCCACTAGAGACTGCCCTGCCCATTTAAGGGCTCTTGTGGTGCAGTGATAGTGTCCTTACCTCTGGATCAGGTTAAGGTCCCACTTGTTCAGGGGAGTGTATCATAATGCATGTGGACAGATTAATTAAAAATATCGAGAGGGCATGCGGGATAGAAGAATAGACTGATGTGTATGAAGAAGGATTGGAATGGCTGGATGAAGTGGGATGGGACAAGATCTTTGTGAAACATGGATCATTTAGGAAGAATGGTCAGTTTGTGTGCTTTACACACAATATATTCCTTATAAGGGCTCAAAGGGCTGAATGGTCTACTCCTGGTCTTGTTTTCCATGTTTATTTCACTCAGCAGCCTGGCACCTCTGAAATGAACATGAAAACCATTGACTTGGGGAGCACTCAAAAGAGCACACAGTGCCTCAGTTGGTGAGTGAGGTGGCGAGGAGGGCAGGGAGGGGATGGCTAGCAGCGACCGTGGTGGAGCAGAGGTATGACAGCAGGATGGTGAGGAGGGGCCAGAGGATGACCAATCCAACAGCTAGGAGGCCAGGCAGGAGAGTGGCCAGAGTGCCCTGTCACAACAATATAACATCAGCATTGCCAACACCACATCTACAGGTGGTTAATCACCAACTTTGCTGACCATCATGTCATTGGCAACAGACACTGGCAACAGATACACTGGATCACTGGATTGTGATAACACATTGTGGAGCTGGAGGAACACAGCAGGTCAGGCAGCAT